AAATACAGGCGCTAATCTTTGTTCGCTGACGCTAGTTCCTACATGCCTCAACAGCTTTCTGTGCTCGATAAAATTTTCCAGTTTCGCGCAGTGTATTTCGATCCAAGTTGTTAAAGATATTCCTCAAATTTCCTACGTGTAAAAATCCTATGTTTTAACTCATTATGGATGGTCTTTCCAATGAGATCTTTTTTATGCATATGACAATAATGTCAAAATTACGCACATGAAATACTTAGAACTTTTCGAGTTTCATCCACTCATTCTAAATCATTGCCGAAATAAATTTCAGGAATTAAAATAGAAATCCTCCCCATTGGAGTCTCCAAAAACTATAGGGAATATTTCATGCATTACCCCAAACTTGAACCCCACTGTGATCATACACTAAAGTACGGTGGCGTCCAAAGGGAAAGAAGATAGAGCCAAAGAGTCGCCAAAGTTTTAGGAACTTGTAAACCGTTCACAGGGTGAAGGTTACACCCCTTAACGATCCAGAAGATCGTCAACTCGAATAGGTCTTGAACCATGACTGGTAGTTCGGGGATGAAGGTACAAATCCAACCTAAAAGAGATTGAACCTGCCCTAATAATAGGCCTCTACTTTATTCTGATCGCATTCATGTGCGCTTTCTGACTAACATGCAATCAATAGGTTTACCCTAAACCTGTTTATCTATGTTGGTTGAATTTTAATGCACATATAAATCTATTATTGGCGATCACATGAATTATAATCATATTAACCCTAACAAGACTATTAATTATCTTATTAAGCGTGATTACAAGTACCAATTCCGTTTAAACATGCATAAAAGGTGTGATCAAGCAATAAATTATAATCAAGCAACATTATAATCATAAAAATAATCATGAATCATAAAAATAATCATGATCATGTGAAAACATAATAATAGCAAGATCCTAGGCATAATACTAACAAGATCAATAACAAACCCTAGCATGTCACTAAGCGATAAAAATCAAAGCTTTAACCCTAACATGATACTAACAATTATAAATATTAGGAAGAACATAAAAGGCATCATACTTTTAATCGTACTTGATATTAAAGTTACCCTAGACATGATACTAGGAAGATCAAAACACCCTAACATAACATTAGGAATCATAATTTACAACCTAAGCATGATTTCTACATAATAACAATAAAAACCATTAAAAGTACTTACTTGGATGCCTCGTACCTCTTTCTAATAACAAAATACACACGTTAGTAACTTCAAGGAAAATAATAATTAAAACAATTAAATTAAATAATTGAAAGAGAGATTTGGGACCAAACCCTCAGAAATTAAAACCTTTCACGTCTAGGGCGAAGGCAACTTCGAATAATGCTAGGTGTATCTAAGTATTGTGAATGCGGAATTTTGTAAAAGATAAGGTAGGTTTATAAAAGAGAAAGAGAAGCTTTAGCTTAGAGAAAAAGGTGATGACTGTAGATTAGAGGTTGTAGATGAGAATGGATGAAAATTGGTTATTGAAAACGGTGTTTTTAGAAGGTTATTTACAGAGAAAATCATCCAAAAAGATAGAAAATCGAACCAGAGTTCTGACGCGCAAAACCAAGGTTAGCACCAGACGCTGACATTAGAGCCAGGCGCTAAAGCTAGCGCCAGGCTTAGCGTCAGGTGCTAGTGACTGGCGTTTGGCGCTAATTAAATTTCTGACGTGTTTTCTAAAATCAGATAGAAATTAAACGTACAGGAGGATAAAATCGTATTTTCCTCAAAAACATTCTTTTATTCTGATTAAAACTCTAAAGGTCAACAAAAGTCAATTTATCAATGCTAATTGAACTAGGAATGAAAAGAACCTTCTAGGAGAATCCAGAAGACTAAAACTAATTGCATTAGGAATGATAAATCCATATTAGGCCCTCCCCTAGATCATTGGGCCGCATATAAGGCTCAAACTGGGCCAAGTTTAGTAATTTGGTCATAACTTCCTCAATATTCATCGGAATTGGGCTTATAATATATCGTTGGAAAACTCTTTTCAAGCCCTATCCAACAACACAGTTATTGGACCCATATCATGGACAAACCAAACTGGATTGGCTGTTTTCTTAAAATTGGTATTCAAAAACAGAAAGAAGAGAAAATAAATTAAAACTATCCACAACACTAGACTTTCCACACTTTCACTTCATTCGATTACGATTCGACGCGAAAGGTATTCATCACTGGGTTTGGTTTTGTGGAGACACAAATGGGTGTCTACACATTTTCATATCAAAGAAATTGGAACACTTACCCTTTTGTACACTTACCCTTTTGTACACTTTTATTTATTTATTTTTCTATCTTTGCTATTTTAATCTTTTGAAGTCACTCAAGCTTTTTATGATATTAAAAATTGCATAAGTTGTACACTATCCCATCCCAAGGTTGGGTAGATATAGGTTGAAAAATGAAAGGTCTATCGTTAGACGAGGCTCAAAGTGGTTTATCAAAAAAGGATTGCATATTTGAAGGGTGAAAAGGTGATATGATGTGGCTATAAGGGGTGCCTCAAATCATTGATATACATTGTGCTTAGTTTTACATGGATTTTTTTTTAATGCAATGCAATGATCATATGCAAGGAAATAAAATTCTCATTTTATTAAAGGAAAAGAAATAATGATCCTAAAAAATAAATCTAAGGAGAATAAAAAGGTGCCTATGCTAGACTTATTGGAAAAAGGGTAAATAAAAATAGAAAAAGAGGCGGTCACAAAATCTTGTCGTTGAAGCTCGCCTCTGCCTTGTGTCGTTTTCTTTATAATCACTCGCTCTTCTCGCTAGCTGGAGGAATGGGAAGCTTGTTATTATCGATCAAATGTTGGATAGCCTCCTTTAGCTTCCAACAACTCTCAGTTGCATGACCCCTACCTTGATGGTACTTGTAGTGTTCATCTGGATTCTAACTAGGTAATCTCTTTTCAAGTGCGGGATCTTGAATAGGTCCAATGGGAGTAATGAGTCCCTTAGCATAGAGTCCATCGAAGGCAGTAGCGTAACTCATCCCAATGGGGGTGAAGTCTTTCCTTAGTTGCTTCTTAGGTCCTTGGTTATCCATGGCTAAAACTTCACTGAGATCATAGGTACTAACATTGTTACTAGAGTGGGTGTTTTCGGAAGAAGAAGGATTGTCGTTTTTCTTTCCTTTCCTGCCACCGTGGTTACTATTGTTAGCAGCTCTTTGCTTTGCGAGGTCGTCTTCGATCTCGATTGCGATGTCATAAACGGTCTTGAAAGTATTCAAGTTGTGTTGATATTTTAAATGCTTTGAATATTTTTCTTGTAGTTTTTGATGAACATCCTCACAGATTCTTTTTCGGAGGGCACCTCAATCATCTTAGCGAAAGTTTCCCTCCACTTATTGAAGAAAAAAGTAAAGCCTTCATTCTCTTTTTGTCTTAACATCTCAAGTTGTCTATAATTAGTTTCGACTTGAATATTACACTTGTATCTATCAATGAAAGCGTTTACTATTGATTCCCAAGTAGAGGTTTTCTCTTTGTCAAGGGAGAAGAACCATTGTTGGCAAACAGTTTCAAGAGACAAGGAAAACAAGGAATGAAATACTTTCTTATCAATCCCTTAATGTTCATTATAGTTTCAAAGGCTCTTAAGTAAAGATAAGGGTTATCTGTTGCCTTGAATTTTGGGATGTCGTTGGCATTGAACCTCTGTGGAAGAAGGTCCTTGTCTACCGAGACCCCTTGTGAACTAATGCCTTGAAACTTGTAGTAAATGGATATATTTCTCAAACTCTCTTGCATGAACTCCATTTGTTATTGCTTCATAGGGTCATTGATTTTGAGGGTTAAAGCCTTCAATGTCTCAGTCACGTCACCCAACTGCTTCTTGAGTTCATTGACTTCTTCTTGACTTGCCATTATCTTCTTAGCTTTTCTTTTCTGACTCATTGGTTTATCAAAATGTAGAACTTAAACAAAGGTGTTGTATCCTTGATTAATCGCCCTTCTCTCCTTGACCAAGTACTATGGAAAGGGAAATTAGGGATATCGACTGTTAATTATTTGACTCAAACTCTATTCAACATGCATGGATGGAAGAAGGTAGAAAGAATGAAGGTTGTGATATAAAGGGATCATGTAGAAAATGGAAAGGTGATGTAGAGGGAGAGATATGAAAAGATTAGGAATAGAATGTACCCCCAACTCAAATGATGGAAAAAAAACCGAATCATGCATGAACCTACGACATGGTCATGGTGACATGTATAAGGTGTGTGCTATATATTGTGAGTGCAAGTGACATGTTAAGACTCGTGTCATGACCATGTGACTATACTATGTGACTAGACTCGAACAAAGACTAAGTTAAGACCTCACGTATATGTATTAAACTGGACTAGCTGTGGTATTTTAGTCATAACTTTTGATTTGTGACTTTGACTTTGGATTAAACCAACGCCAAATTAAAGATAAAACTCGGGGCTACAGATCCATAGGTTTTACGACTCGTAGTTCTTCCTAGAACTCCGGCTATGACCAAAACAAGTTGACGCTTGTGCAGTATACGAGAATAAAAATGGGGTTGACTCAAAGGAACTATGACTCGATTTTAAGTTTATTTATTAGCTTAAATTAAATAATTAATTAATTAAGCAAAGTCCTTTAGTCATTAATTAGTTTATTAAGACTTAATTACAAGCACAAGTCAAACGAACGGTTAGGAAAGACACATAGAGTATGCACAACAAATAATGCACAATTAGTCAAGTAGGCAGAATATGATGCAATGTGTTTGCAACCTAACCATGGCTCTAGTTCTCTAAAGTTTGGGATATGGGTTAGTCAAAGAGGGTCCATGGTTAATTGTCCGGATGCACCACGCGGAAGCCTAACCGTGAAGGGTTGGCGCGAGTGGATGGGACACCGCGAGTTAAGAAAAACTCGCTTCCATGGTTTGGTGAATTCAACATTCTCGGATGTACCCTTTCACTACCACAAAATAGAGAATAAGTAACACATAATATACAACGTTCAAGTTGCATAAGCGATCTCTAGAATTATACAGATCGCCTATGTAAGATAGGCGTTTTGTATGTTAAAAGCTATAGAGCGCCTATCTATGTTAATAGCTCTATATGATAAATTCAAATTTACCCTATACAATATAGAGCGCCTCTTTCAGTTCACCGTTCTATAAATATTTAAAAAAAAAAAAATTAAAATAAGTATCTAATACGACACCCACGACTAACCCTAAATACTTGTATCAAAATGAGCCGCCCCCTTCTGTCTTCTTCTCTTTTTCACTCCTTCATATCCCCTTTCTCTCTCCTCTCCCCCTTCCTCTCTTTCTCTCTCCTCTTCCACCATCACCGACGACACTGTAGTCTAGCTTCTCACGCCCACCGATGACACCGTAGTCTAGCCACCACCGAGCAATGAGCGTCGATCGTCCACCACTGTGGCATGAGAAGTCGATTCGAATTTAATTGGTCAAGGTTTTTCAATCTTTCTAATTTTTGTTTATAACTCAATTTCCTGATTATAACTAATTTGTTGTTTTGGTTATTACTTAAATCTGATTTTACTTTTGTTATATTTTAGATATTTATTAAGTTTTTGGGATAGTTTGTGTTGAGTTTTTGGGGATTTAGAGACGATTTTATATGTTTTTTTTTTTCGATCTAAAGTTTTCGATTATATTCTAATTCTGATTTTGATTTTCATTATAAATTTTTCGTTTTAATACTCAGTTATTTTAGCTCTCTAATTTGAGCAATTTTTTATTTTCATCTTTAGATTTGTTTTTAATTTTCAATCATATTAGATCTAAATTTTCTGATTTTCATTTAAAAATTATTATAGATCTAAAGTTTTTGTTTAGTGTGATTTGTTCTGATTTTGTGCGTTGATGGTGTGGTTATGGGTTTCTGGTGCGGTTGCTCTGGTTTTGTGCGCCGATGGTGGAAGGTTGGAAGCGTTGTTGTAACTACAATGGTGGCAAGCTATTTCAATTTCTTCATTTTTTATGTTTAGTTTGTTTAATTGGATCTATAGTAATTTTTAAATTTTTTATGTTTAGTTTGTAACTGTAATTCTGGTTTTATGAGTGTTATATGAACTGGGTTTATTTTAATATCTTATGGGATGAAATTTTATTGTTACATAAATTGTATTAAGATCTATTTTTGTTGGGGTGGATTGATTGAAGTTGTAAAAAATTTAGTTTAAATTACATTGCAACTATAGTCTTATCATTTGTTGTTACATGTTTTTAAAGATTTATGAGTGCAAATTTGCTTGACAGCGGCAGGATTGACACCATCGGCTTAATTATTTTGTACGAAGCATTGTAGAACTTGTAATGTAAATTTCTTGTAAGGAACTTTGATGTAATTGAAATATTTGTAATTTTTAAATTAATTTAATGTTATTTTTACGGTGTTTTATTTATTGTGAACTAATTATTATTATTATTATTATTATTATTTAATAATAATAATAATAATAATTTAATTATTTTGTTAAAAAAAAAATTTAAGGAAAAGAGAACGCCTATCTGTGATAGGCGATCTCTTTTTATATAGCTATAGAACACCTATCCTAAGATGTCAGCTCTCTTTTCCTTATTTTTTATTTATTTTGTATCTAGAATATGAAGCGCCAATCTGAGATAGGCGATCCGTATTGTGATAGATATTGAACGCCTCAAAGAGGCGTTTTGTAGAACTTATAAGGCACCCCCTCAAAAGAACGCCTCTAAGGCGTTCTATATTGCATGTTTTAGGTGTTCTATATTCTCATTTTTGTAGTGGTGTTTGTTGCACAGAGCGCTCAATCAGGTAGATGGATCATGAATTTCAGAGGGTTATGTCCATATGTAGAACACATGGGTTTTAGAAAAGTGAGAAAAACTCAATTAAGAAACAGGATCGAGCAAACAGTGCTAAAAACTGGTCAAAATTAGAACGCATATTTCTGGCTCGGTATTGGAATAACTTGGCACCAGCAAACAGAGGCCGGCGCCAAGATGTGGCTAGACTATGTGACTAGACTCGAACAAAGACTATGTTAAGACCTCGCGTATATGCATTAAACTGGACAAGCTGTGGTATTTTAGTCATAACTTTTGATCTGTGACTCTGATTGGGATGAAACAAACGCCAAATCAAAGATAAAACTCGGGGCTACAGATCCATAGGTTTTATGACTCGTATTTCTTCCTAGAACTCCGGCTATGACCAAAACAAGTTGGCGCTTGTGTAGTATACGGGAATAAAAAATACGGGAATAAACAACTCGCTTCCATGGTTTGGTGAATTCAACATTCTCGGATGTAACCCTTTGTTGCACAGAGCGTTCAATCAGGTAGATGGAGCATGAATTCTCAGAGGGTTATGTCCATATGTAGAACACATATGGGTTTCAGAAAAGTGATAAAAACTCAATCAGGAAGTAGGATCGAGCAAACATTGCTAAACACTGGTCAAAATTAGAACGCATATTTCTGGCTCGGTATTCGAAGAACTTGGCGCCAGCGAACAGAGGCTAGCGCCGCGATTTGGCTTTGGCACCTGACGACAGAAACTGTCGCCTGGCGCCAGAGTCAAATTAGTTGCGCTAAACTCTATTTTCTAACGCTAGTTCCTAATCGCCTCAGCAGCTTTCTATGCTCGATAAAATTATTAGTTTCGCACAGCATTATTTCGGTTCTAGTTGTGAAAGATATTCCTCAAATTTCCTATGTGTAATAAATCCTACGTTTTTAACTCATTACTAATGGTCTTTCCAATGAGATCTTTTTTATGCATATGACAATAATGTTAATCAAAATTGCGCACATGAAATACTTAGAATTTTTCGAGTCTCATCCACTCATTCTAAATCATTGCCGAAATTAATTTTAGGAATTAAAATAGAAATCCTCCCCAGTGCAGTCGCCAAAAAACTGTAGGGAATATTTCAAGCATTATCCCAAACTTGAAACCCACTGTGATCATACACTAAAGTACGGTGGCGTCCAAAGGGAAAGAAGATAGAGCAAATGAGTCGCCAACAAGTTTTGGGAACTTGTAAACCGTTCATAGGGTGAAAGTTACACCCCTTAACGATCTAGGAGATCGTCAACTCCAATAGGTCTGGAACCATGACTGGTAGTTCGAAGATGAAGGTACAAATTCAACCTAAAAGAGATTGAACCTGCCCTAATAATAGGCCTCTACTTTATTCTAATCGTATTCATGTGCACTTTCTGACTAACATACAATCATTAGGTTTAACCCTAAACCTGTTTATCTATGTTGGTTGAATATTAATGAACAAATAAAACTATTATTGGCGATCACTTGAATTATATTCATATTAACCCTAAACAAGATTATTAATTATCTTATTAAGCGTGATTACAAGTACCAATTCCCTTTAAACATGCATTAAAGGTGTCATCAATCAATAACAATAAATATAATCAAGCAACATAATAGTCATCATAATTAAAATAATAATAATAATAATAATAATAATAATAATAATAATAAATTATTATTAAAATAATAATTAAAATAATCATGTTAAAGCATAATAGCAAGATCCTAGGAATGATACTAATAAAATTAATAACAAACCCTAGCATGTCACTTAACAATAAAGATCAAATATTTAGCCCTAACATGATACTAACATGAATATTAGGAAGAAAATAGGAAACATTGCAGGAAACACAATTGTCATATTTGTTATTAGAATTTATAGTTGTTACCCTAAGCATTATACTAGGAAGATCAAAACGCCCTAACATGACGCTAGGAATCATAATAACAATCTAGACATGATTTCTATATCATAATATCAAAGTAAACAATTAAAGCACTTACTTAGATGCCTCATACCTCTTTCTAATAACAAAATACACGCGTTAGTAACTTCAAGGAAAATATAAAACAAACAATTAAATTATATAATTGAAATAGAGATTTGGGACCAAACCCTCAGAAATATCAAACCTTTCACGTCTAGGGTGAAGGCAACTTCAAACTTGGCTAGGTGTGTCTTGTGCTAATGTATGAGGAATTGTGTTTGTAAAAATAGTTGGTTTAGAAAGAGGGAGAGAATCAAGAAATTCTTGATGAGTGTTGGTGAGAATTGATGAGAATTGATGGAAATTGATGATTTTTTAGAATTGATGATTGAAAACAGAATTTTAAGAGGCTATTTATAGAGAAAATAAGTCGGATGGATAAAAAAAACGATTCAGAGTTTTGACGAGAATAAAACTCGACTAGCGCTAGACGCTCGCTGAAGGTTAGCCCCAGGTGCCGAGCCTTAGCGCCAGGCGCTAATAATCAGTTTCACGCATTTTTGTTTTTATTATATCTTTTGATCCAGAAGTCCAAATAAAGCATATAATATGTCGTTGGAAAGCTCTTGAAGTCTACTTTCCATACCAATTAGAATAAGATTAAAATCTTTTGTAGATAAAAATATAGAACCGAAATAGTGGGACAATATCAGTTTTGGATAGAGTTTCATATCTCATTCATATCTTTTTCTTTATAACTCGGATTTAATATTATAATATATCATTGGAAAGATAATTTCAAGATCTATCCAAACATATAAAATTTGGATAATGATTATGAGGCACAAAAATAAAATCTTACTGTCTTTGAACATCTTTAAATTCGAATAGAATTAGAATTTAAGAAAAAGGAAAGTTTTAAAAAAGGAAAGTTTTTATTTAACTCAAATTCTTTAATCTTATCTTTTCAAAAAGGATAATTAAGATATTTTAGAAACTTATAGAAGTTTCTAATTAATCCTAATTAATTTAGGAATAGGATTAGACCTTTGGACCCTCCACATGATCATTGGGTCGTAGGTAAAAACCGGTTTGAGCCCAGTTTAGTATTTTGGCCATAACTTCCTCATTATTCATCAGAATTGGGCTTATAATATATCGTTGGAAAGGTCTTTTCAAGCCCCATCCAACTAAACTATTATTGGTCCCATATCATGGACCAAAATAAAATGGGAATGCACGTTTATCAAAAATAGGGTAAGAAAATAAATATTTTCAAAAACAGAAAGAAGAGATATTTTAATAAAAACATCCTCATCACTAGACTTTTCACACTTTCTCTTTGCTTGATAATCAAATGACATGAAAGGTATTCATCACTGGGTTTGGTTTTGGGGAGACACATTTGGGTGTATACAATACTTGTTTTAAACACTTAGCAACCCAAGGATTGTTTCGACATCCTTAAACATTACTGAAAGATTCTCTATCCTTAGAGAACTTTGCAGAATGAGTCTCAGACTTATATCCTTCACTACTTTGATCATCGTCTATTCTACACTCGATCAAAGTGGGGGCTAACTTTAGACATCTACTTTGGCCTCCTGTCCCGACAGGAAGTGCAATCACGATAAATAAAGCCATCTTCGTGTTGGATCAAAGTGATGAATACTTATGGATAACTGGTTAAGCAACAAAACACAAAAGACTAGCCCAAATCAAAGAAAAGCCAAAACAAAGGTCCAATTAACTAAACCCGATCATAATTAGGCTTAAGCCCGTTCTTAAACCCTAATAATGACGGATTTAGGAGCGCCTAGGTTAAAACTTAGTGCTGCCGTAGAAAAAGCCGGGCGCATCTCACAAAGTCGCGCTAAGCTGCCGCGTGCGACTATTTCAGTTGCGCGCGACACCCATCGCAACTTCCAGAGTTGCGTTGCTGAAGATTTGTAATTATTCGGAAATTATATGGAAAATAAAAAATAGAATCTTACCATAAAGCCGCGCGCAAGACCAGTAGTTGCGCTGCACATAGCAGCACAACTCTATAACTTGCGCAGGGTTTCCACGCGCAATTTCATCTGTTGCGCGCGACACCTTCTATGGCTGTTTGCTCAAAACTCTAAACCTAATCCTTCTCTATCAATACGAGCTTAAACCGAGGCTTCAACAGACAGAAATTAACCTTAAAACTCTGGCGAAATAACTTATGAACTTGTGCAACCTAGCCCTCTTGTCCTAAACACTCACCCTTCCGATACTTTGTTACTACGGTGGAGGTCCCCCAACAAGAAGGTGTCCATAAGTGTTCTAAACGGAGATCTACAAAGAGAAGTGGTAAATTCCCGAGCACTTAGTTAAATCACCTTTATTTTCTTGTTTAAAAGAACTTTAATAAATTAATTAGTGTTGTTTGATCACTTTTAAAATAATTAATTAATCAATTCCACATAGTTTCTTACGTTAAATAAAGACTATAATTGAATTAAATAATTGTTGGTTGATCACCTAAGCCAAGGCGAATCTTGTTTACTTATTGTTCTTTCACGAATATTATTAAATAAGAATAAAGACTTTGCAATGTAATTCCTACGTGAATTAATGCTTGTAAATAAAATCAACTAAC